TTCCTCCCTCCCTCTCCCCCTCTCCCTCTCTCTCTCTCTCTCTCTCTCTCTCTCTCTTTATATATATATATCCTTCCCCCCCCCCTCTCTCTCTCTCTCTCTCTCTCTCTCTCTCTCTCTCTCTCTCTCTCTCTTTCTCTCTTTCTCTTTCTCTCTCTCTCTCTCTCTCTCTCTCTCTCTCTCTCTCTCTCTCTCTCTCTCTCTCTCTCTCCCTCTCTCTCTCTCTCTCTCTCTCTCTCTCTCTCTCTCTCTCCTTCCCTCCCTCCCTCTCCCGCTCTCCCTCCCTCTCTCTCTCTCTCTCTCTCTCTCTCTCTCTCTCCCTCTCTCTCTCTCTCTCTCTCTCTCTCTCTCTCTCTCTCTCTCCTCCCCCCCCTCACTCTGTTTCTCTCTCTCTCACATACACACACAAAAGGCTTAAGCATTGATTATTTCAGTGACTTCTGAAGCCACTAACTAGTGTTTACACAGGCCATAAATTCATACTCTAACAGGCGTAAATCTCGTAGCAAGATAATGCAAGGCTATAACCCAGAACTGAGGTGTGACGGATTTTCAAGAAATGGCTGTGGGAATTGATGCATTCATATTGATTCCTGCAATGATGAAGATGTTCCATTGTATATATGAATATATATATATATATATATATATATATATATATATATATATACATATATGTGTGTGTGTGTGTGTGTGTGTGTGTGTGTGTGTGTGTGTGTGTGTGTGTGTGTGTGTGTGTGTGTGTATGTGTGTGTGCTTATATTTCTAGTGCCTCGAAATATTGACGATATTTTTTAAGAATTTTGTCGTTCATGATTTTCATTTGTATTATATGTGTGGAAGTGCCCGTGTGGTTATTTGTCTAGACATTGCTTATTCTTCTATTAAGCTAAAAAAATTATCCTTCCCTTTCTTTTTTCTTGTTTTGTTTTTCTTGTCTTCGTTTATTGATGACTTCTCTTTCACTTTATTTGTCTTCTTCAGTCTCCCTCTCTCTCCTCTCTCGTTCTCTCGCTTTCACTCTGTGTCTCTGCCTCTGTCTCTGTCTCAGTCTCTGTTTCTCTCTCTCTCTCTCTCTCTCTCTCTCTCTCTCTCTCTCTCTCTCTCTCTCTATATATATATATATATATATATATATATATATGTATATATATATATATATATACACATATATACATATGTATAATTTTCTGACACATATACTGTATATGTACGTATATCTATCTACCTATATGTGTATATATATGCATACATATACGTATATACAAATGCATCTGTATATATATATTTATATATGTATATGTTTATATACATTTATATATATAACATATAAATATATGTATATATAAATATGTATATATATATATGTATAAAACATATATACATACATATACATACGTATGGATACATACATATATGTGTATATATATGTACACGCACACACACACACATATATATGTGTGTGTGTGAATAATCGCGTAAATATACTTGCGCATTTTTGGAGGGAGCTACAACCATTGGAAATGATTTAAAAGAAGCCAATACATCTCATTCTGCATTCGCAGTACACTACAGAGTTTCCAATTCTTTTGTGAATGCAAAATAATGGAACTTCTTGTGACCTTTCTATGAGGCCCATGCATTACGCGATAGCTCACTGGAAGGAGAAAAAAAATGTTCGAGATACATCGGAATCCTAAGTAATTATTGAATGGTTATTATGGCATCATTAACAATGTAAATTTTTAATATCGACGATAGAAGATCGATAACAGTCGACACGATCAAATCGTATACATATGGACGGATAAAAATCAGTGATAAGTAAGTTCTATAGTGAAACCAAACACTAAAGATCAAAATGGTCCGCTTCGCCGACATTACCACGTGTCGGTCCCATGGTGTAATGGTTAGCACTTTGGACTCTGAATCCAACAATCCGAGTTCGAGTCTCGGTGGGACCTCGTCTGTTTATGCGCTATTGATTAGCTTCGTACATTCTTAATTTGAAAGCAGCGTCTTTATTAACAGTGCAGAAAACTATAATTTACTCAGAACAGTTTTACCGGTCACTGCTACTCTCCTTGTATTGAAGTCCTCCCGCGAAAAAAAAAAAAAATAAATAAAAAAATAAATTTCATAATCTGAGGTCCCACCGAGACTCGAACTCGGATTGTTGGATTCAGAGTCCAAAGTGCTAACCATTACACCATGGGACCTTCTGTGAGATGGGAACTGTTTGTGTATAAGGATTTAATAGTTTCGCCATACTGTTTCCTATTCACTGCTTTAATTTCTAGTGCCTCGACGATATTTTTAAAGAATTTTGTCGTTCATGATTTTCATTTGTATTATATGTGTGAAAGTGCCCGTGTGGTTATTTGTATAGACATAGCTTATTCTTCTATTAATCTAAATTTTTTATCCTTCCCTTTCTTTTTTCTTGTTTTGTTTTTCTTGTCTTGGTTTATTGATGACTTCTCCTTCACTTTATTTGTCT